CCATATCCTAATTCCCAGAATCTGTGAATAATGTTACTTTATGTTGCAAAAGGAATTTTGCAGATGTAATTAAGATTAAGGGCCTCGAAATGGGATGATTGCCTTGGATAATCTGCAAGGGCCCTATATAATTATATGAGTCCTACAAAATAGAAAAATTTCCTGGCTGCAGCCAAAGAAAAAAATGTGAAGACAGAAGCAGGGTCAGAGAAATGCAATGTGGCTGGCTTTGAATGAAGGAAGAAGGCCATGAACAAGAAATGCAGGTGATCTCTGGAAGCTAGCTGAAAAAGGCAAAGAAATGGATTCTTCCCTGTAGCCTCCAGGAAGGAATGCAGTCCAAATGATACTTTCATTTTTAACCCCTTGAGACTTGTATCAGACTTTTGACCAACAAAGCTGTAAAATATTTATTTGCATTATTTAAGCCACTAAGGTTTTTACAGCAGCAATAGGAAATTTAATTACCATATATTATATGTATTATATATATAACATATTACATATATACTAGGGCAAACATATATAATCATGAATAGTGTTTAGTTGTCTGTTTTCTCTATTACAGACCCATATGATCTCATTTCCTACTAATTTCTAATCAATGTGTCAAGACAATGAATTTACCGATCATACAGCTTCAGTGGAAAAAAAATGATTGAGACTTACTGACCTATTTAAGGAAGTAAACTTATTCAGACTCAAACTGGTCATGTAAACTGAGCCCAAGAAAAACAAACTGCATTTATTTCTCACTTCTCTAGACTCAACAGGCTACAAAATTTGAAGCCTCGAAGCCACAGTCACACAGGAGATCTGCAGATTTTGATGAGTAGTACTCTTGCTTACAATTTTCATGATTAGGTTTATTGTATATTAATTATCACCAAGTATTTACTGATATAGCTCAGTTACAAAAGCTACTAATTAATTCAGAACGCAAACCAAGCCCAATGAAAGAGACACAATATTCCTTCAGTTAGGAAGTTGAGGACTTATGTATCAGAGCTGTCCTAAAATCTTTGATCAAACTGAGAAAAGTTTGAATTCAGGTAGTTCCAGGAAAGTACATTCCCTTTTTTCATAAAAGATAATGAAACAGCTATAGAAAAGCATTACTTGTGATATAAACCTAGAATAAATAAACCTAGAAATATGTTCTGATAATTTACCCCAGTTTTCCTATTGGTTCCTGTTTTTAATTCCAATACTCATCAGCTCAGTCAGACTTTAGTATTAGGCCTAAAATTCTGTATTTGTATATGAAAGTAAGCTGTTACACTATTTCTGGGTTTTTTAAATATTACTGTACACTCACACTTTTGATTATCAACAGGTTGCACCCATCAATAAAATGTTTCCGTGATGTGTGCATAGATGGGCTTCTGATCACATAGACCACTGTCACAGACATTCAGCCCCCCACCCTGACTTCTGCTCCAACGTAACAGCAGATCACCATGCATCACCCCACACACAATGTCTTTCATTTCCTAAAAATAAAAAATGCCTTCCTCAGCAAGAGTTTAACCTTATGTTCTAGAAGCAAAGAATACATAAACGTCCTTGGATCACCCAAAGAGCAAGCCTCCTCCCTCTGTGCTCCTCCTTTCCCCTATTCCCATTCTCACCATTAACTCTCCCTCCATCTTTTCTCCATTGTTGCCACATAAATATAATAAATAGCTTCAAATTCATTGCTTTGGGCCCATTGTGATTTTAATTTAAAAGGCTGAGAAGAAGCAAGCACTAAAATTCAATTTACCTGTATCCAAATAGCAATTACTGAGCATCTCCAACCTGAAACTCTCTGTGCTAAGAACCAGAAATGCGGTCTCCACTCTCCTGACACCCTGGGTAGTGGAGGAGGCAGTGACAGAGACATTCTATCTGGGATAAGAGCTCTAGGTGGAAACGGCATTAAAGAGTGGGATTGCAAAGGGTGTTTGCACTCCTTTGCCAGAAGAAGCAGAAGAGAAAACATGGAGGAAGGAGGAAGAAAGAAGAAAACAACCCCCATTAAATATAGATAGTAATGTAATCAATCAATTTGATGACCAAGAAATATTTGGATTCCTACAATTAAGTCTGTCTTAAAAAGTTAAAATTAAGATAATTATCTGACAAGCTGAAAAAAAGCCACTTACCTTTTGTGCCAATTATTTAGATGTTATAAATAAAAAGGTCTCTTACCACTTTACTCATCTAATGCAGAACTTACCTTGTTTTAAAATGAAAATATCTAACAAGGACATTAGTAACATAAATACATTTTATGTAGTTGATAAATGATCCTTCAAACTGAACATCAGATTAAACCCTCATTAAAAAAAGAGCAGTAAGACATAGAAAAGTACAAATACATTGTCAGTGTCTTACTTAGCATATTTGATACTTGAAGTAGATACTTTTCAAACATCTCTCTGTCCTCTATAACAAACTACATTTCAGTAATAATCAGTCATAATCTTTATTTTCCTGATTTGTTCCTTAACTTTAAAGTGATAGGCAATTTTCAGAAGGAGAATAAATTTTAAAGTTATTAATCAAATTCAATGAAATATTTTATGTATGAAATATTTACACTTAACAAAAACATTACTCCTCACAATCCAGTTTCATTATTATAATTTTTAAACTTAAAAAGAACTCTAAGTGATCATGTGAAATAACAGACCTGAAGTAACTATTTCTAGTTCTTTGTCTTTACAACGACACTGGTATCACTTTATTCTGAATCTGCTATTTCAGCGTACCAAGACTATAAAGTTTGTAAAGGATAATCATAAATGTGCTAATTAGAATCATATGTACATATTATTAAAACAGTAGTAACCACAGCAGTTGCTTAGAACTTAGAGAAACAAAAGAATTTTGTGAAAAACATTTTATCAGTGACATTCAGAATTGGTGGTGCATGGTGATACTACAAAGCAGACCAACTTCCAGTTGGTTTTATTATCATTTATAAATTTCTACAAACTGCACCTTCTTAATGATTGCAACCAGGGCAAAAGGCTCCCATAACTTCATCCTTGGTATGAATAGTTTTTAACACAAATAGTTTTTAAGCCAAAGTGGAAGAAGGCCACAAAACCACCACTATTTTCATGTGATATATGTGTATTACATACAGGACCAGACACAGGGGCCTGTGACTGAGCACAGAACCCTATGTTCAAAAAGTCCCACACTTGGCTTTAAATGTTGTGCTACCACAGTCTTGATATTCTTAACAACTTGACCTTGCAATATGTGTACATAAGTCAAGTCCTGTGGGGCACGAGGCATATAACCTAGACTCACATGCAGCCCTGCTTCCTAGTGGTTTTCAGGGACAGGTACTCAGCCACCTGTTTCCACACAAGGTGACTGCTGCCACCCTTCACTCCTGGTAGAGTCCTTGGCACAAGGCAGTGTGGGTTGGGGTCATGGGTCAGGGACATGAACACCTGTGAGGGTGTGAATGCTCCCACAAGAACCTTTATGCTCTAGAGAACTTAACATTAAATAGCAAATGAAAATAGCCTTCCTCATGTCAACTGAGACTGAATAAAGGAGAAAGCTGCTTCCCCCTGCTCCTGAACAGCGGGGCTTTGCATCTCCATTCTGCATGGGACCCCAAAATTCTGTGGCCATCCTTGCCTGTATACGTGTGTGAGCCTGCATCTGTCTGTGCTTGTATCTAAAAGAATAAAATAACTTTATCTATATTTAGTAAATTTACCCATAATTTTATAATTTATAGGTAGGATAAACTTACATGTAACTTTACTATTTTTATCTATAAAGGTGAATATAATTATTTAATAAGTCACAGATCAGGAGAGAAGAAATTCCAATACCATATTATCTTCTGTGTTTCTTTTAGTGATGCATTTCCTTAAAATGTCTTATTTTACCTTTATTTTTATTGTTTACACTATTACAAATTTTAACTAAGAATATATCATGCTAAATATGGGGTTATTCTAGCTTTAGAAGCAGAATATAACATTACTAATAGGCTATTATTAACAAAATCTACTCTGCAACTTTGATTCCTTGACATGCAAGACATTGTTGGCCAGGAGCCAAAGTCATCAAATATTCAGAATATGGAGATACATCAAATGTACTGGAAAGTCCTTAAAACTCACTAATTTTAGCATATATCAATTATTCACCTAAATTGCTTATATGAAACAATCCTAATTCTTCAGTTTCTCACCCGAAAGTTAACTAATGTTTCAAAACATATGACTTGAATTACTCCATTTATAATAAGACAGATCAACAAAATATTATTATAAACCTTTTATTTTGTTGAGCTCTATTATTTGAAAAAGTCTTCATGATCAGTATATAATTGACAATGTCTTCAAGACTTCCTCCATTTTGAAAATGGCACTAAGATTTGGATGTAAGAGCAGGAACAAATACTCCACAGATGGACATTAATATATATGTGAAATGAATAGATCATATATGAGATTTGTCTAAATTTAACAGCATTGCTAATATTCCCAACAGAGAACTAACACTGCCAAAAATCTATAGCATTGTGTCACATTTGGAAAAGGTTAAGAGCCATCTGAACTGTACTAGCTCTTTACACCCACAAAATTGTCATCCCGGATCCCTGCAGTATTGACCTTATCTAATACCATCTAAAGTCTAACTTTGGTACTCACCGACTTCAGCCTGAGAAACTTGCCCTTTTCTTAATCTTTTTGTTTTTTAAACAGATGTGCAAGTCCAGCTTCCTTTCTCCCATCCTGACTCCCTTCTTCAACCAGTATTTAGACACTGTCTCAATCAAGCAATCATATGTAAATAACCTCCTGGCTGGATTCTGTCCCTAGAAACTTCTACCTCACTGCTGTACTCGGTGAGCAACTAACCACTTAATCAGACAATCCATGTAAAATCATGTACTCATTTATAATGTCTCACATTCTGTACACAGAAGGAAACTCAGCATATACCCAGCGTGTAAAGGGAGTCAACCAATTACTCACGTTGTTCATGTACTCTGAAAGCAGGTCCTGGAGAGCCTGGCGAATGGCATTGCATTCTGCAATAATCCGCTCCCGGTGGAAATCCCTCGTGCAGGAAGAGTCAGCCAACAGAGCAGCCCCACTGATAATGGCTTCAAGACGTTGCTCTAGTGATGGTCTTATTTCCTCCTCAGTCACTGTGAGTGGATCCAGGACAATTAAATTCTAAAGGAAAAACACATTTGGATGGTTAGAACTTCAGAGCACCCATTTTAAAGAAAAATATTATTTTCTTTTTATGTTTAGAATGCAGATGTGATAAGAAATCCCATTTTTACAGCCTCACCTAGTCCATGCATAATTCTATGTAGCAATTATTATTCAGGTGAGTGACAAAAACTGTACAATTATGAGCATCAGCTCTAGATTCACACAGACCTGTATTCAAATCTTGCCTTTTCCTCTTACCAATAGTGTGAGCTAACTTATGTGTCATCTGTAGTCAGAGCCTCACCTTCTTGATTTGTAAACTTGGAATATTAATGTTGCTTGCCTCATAAAACTGTTGTAAGAACAATATAATGCTTAATAGAGTGCATGGCACATTATTATTTATAATACTCTAACACAGAATTTTATTATTGACATAATATTTTCACATATGTAATCAAATCCTGACAACACTATAAAGATGTGGGCAGCAAATATATTGTTAATCACATACGTGAATTAATGATGAGTGAGGCTGAGACTGTTTTTACCCAAGGTCACTGAACACATAATGACAAAGTTCAGACAAGTATACAGGTCTAAAATATCTAGTTCAATATTCATTTCATTATGCCTTACTATGAATCATACACTCTAATTAACTTTAACATATCTAAAAGAATCTTGAAACATAAGTATTCACTGAAAATGCAAAACTCCATCTTTCCATTGATCTATTATAACTTCTAGCTATTTCCCACTATTGAAAACTGGCATGATATTTTTAAGGTTTCCATTAGATATAGGTCTCCAAGCAATAGAAGTCAAGATAATCTATACACTCTGAAGAAAAGATGAAAGGTATGAGGGTCTAATGGTTCTTCGTAAAATACCTCAAGAGATGAAGCTTTTCCAAGGTTTAAAAGGTATAATGTGGCAATTAGGGAATTAGTATCAAACAAAAACTCTGTGAATAATCATTAACGTAAAATGAAATCATTGAATAACCTTCAAATGTGTGTACATGTGTAAATCTACACATAAACACACACACTGAAAAACATTAATCTTCAGAGTGTGTGATCTTATCATTAAATTTTATATATACACATAGAGAGAGGGTCCTATGTACATTTGTGTGTCTTAAACTGATCATTGTACTATATTACATTATAATAAATATTTGGGGATCAAAAGTACCCAGGATAAAATTTCAAAGGCTATAACTCTGGGAGTAATCTAGTAAGAGAAAATTATTACAGAAATAATTTTAAAACAGTGAGAAAAATAAGCACTAAGTAATGTTCCCATATAATACAAAATATAAATTCTATTTTATATGGAAAAAATAAAATTAATTTTACAAATGCCAAATTTAATATTTTTGTTGGCCAATGATCATTTTTTTGATGAGATGATAATCCTAACCATGGGCTTGGCCATCAGTCAAGGATTCATCTACATTTAAATTTACCTCCTTATTTCACTTGCCCCAAATATTCCATTCCAACGTTTCATGATAGTAATGAAAACCTTTTTGAAAATGCCCTTCCAAGGTGACATCATCACTAAGAGACACTGTGGGCAACAGCACCACCCTTCAATTGCTCTAGTGCAATCAGAAGATGTGACAGGAACATTTAACATGTTTCCAGAACTGTGATGATACAAAAAGAAACTAAATTTCAAGGCTGTTTACCTGTAAGAGCCGCAAGAAAAAAACTAGTGATTTGGGGGATGTGATTTTATGTCAGAAAACAGCCTCTGTTACAGTACTAAGTCATTTCATTTCCCTCTCTATGGGCCCATTGCTCAAACGATCCTAACATTTGAATTTTGACTTGTTTGACATGTAAGACTTCTCAGATTTTTCAGGCTTACCTGACTCAAACCATGACATGCTCTGACATCTGATACCCACACACAGGCCTCTTAATTCCTCTTAAGCCACTGTCCTTCCATTCATATTCTGTAACAGTTTTCACTAAGCTTGTCATCAAATCATAACAGTTTTCACTAACTTTGTCATCAAATCAATATAAAGGTAAATTTTTAAACAACTTGAATATTCTATGAAATAGCACTGGATATTTGAGACCTAGTGAAATAAGAGACCTGTCTCTTGTGGACTTCAGTAAACTGATGAAATAAGAATATCCATACCTCATACCCTGACAGAGACACTGATTTTTACAATGACCCATGAATGAGAATACCTTTATGGAAACCTGGAATTATAGCTGAGAGATTCCAGCACCCCAGTGGAGAAAAATAATAAAAGATAGGGGCACTGACAAATATAAGGACAGTTTCACTTTACCCACGTCACCCCTCTCCCAAGGCAGCACAGCTCAGTGCCAAAGGAGACCGTGCTGGCTGGTAATTTCTCCCGTGGGAGAAAGTGAGAGCAAAGTCAGCTTCATCAGCCTTGTAGGATGGTGCCCAAGTGGCCCATTTCCACCTCTTGTCAGCTACAGCATTGAGGTGATTGCAACAGCTGAATAACTGATGGATAGCTAAGAGCAAAGAAAAGAAGTGGAAGCTCACAGCAACCAGTGCGAGGATCTCAACCAGCAGCAGATCCTACTAACTGTATTCAGACTCCAACAAGTGTCTCATGCACGAACCAGTGGGACCCTTAACTGCAGACCACACAACTAGGTGATGTGCACCCCCAGCACTTCATGTACCACACCTTCCTGTAGCAAAGACTCCCTGCTCCCCTGCAGATGACACATTCCAGCTCCCACAAACAGCACACTGTTAGACTGGCTGAGAATATGCAACATTAAACACTTCAGGGCATTGCCCTGGGGAAAATAAATAGGAGGCCCTCGCACCCAGTCTGAGTTTGAGTTTGTGGCATCAAGAGAAAGCACACAGCCTAAGACTTACCACTTAGGGGGAACAGAAGGAATAATAGAGATGGAAAATTCATATCGCCTAGTGACACTGTAGCCATAGTAACATTGTATCAAAATAAATTACACATGTGTTTGTGTTATGCTGGTGTAAACCTACTGTGCTTCCAGTCCTATAAAACTTAACATCTTTGGTGACTAAAAACTCAGCAAATTAGGCATAGTAGGAATGTACATCATCACAATAAAGGCCATGTATAACAAGCCACTATTGACATCATATTCAATGATGAAAAGCTGAAAGCTTTTTCTCTAAGATCAGAAATGATACAAGGATGCCCATTCCTGACACTTTTATTCCACATAGTACTGAAAGTACTAGCATGAACAACTGGACAATAAAAAGGAATAAAAGGCACCCAAATTGGAAAGAAGTAAAATTGTCTCTGCTGGCAGATGACATGCTCCTATATACAGAAAATTCTGCATACCCATCAAAACTGTTAGACTAATAACAATTTCAATAGTTTTAGGATAAAAATCAACAAAAATCAGTTGCATTTCTATACACTAGCAACAAACTACTTAGAAAAGAAATTAAGAAAATCTATTGTGATAACACACCCCAAAAAATAAGAGAATTAGGAATAATTTAATCAATTAAGTGACAGATCTGTATACTGACAACTATAAAACATTGATGAAACTGAAGAATAATAAACAAACAAATAAATGGAAAAATATCCCATATTTATGGATCTGAAGAATTCATATTGTTAAAATGTCCATACAACCTAAAGTAATTTACTGGTTCAATGCTATCCCTATCAAAATTCCAATGGCATTTTTCACCGAAATAGAAAAACACCATCCTACAATTAATATGGAACAACAAATTTGACTACTCAAGACAGTAGTCAAAACAGTCTTGAGTGAGAAAGACAAAGCTGGAGGCATCACACTTCCTGATTTTAAACTGTATTACAAAGCTATCATAATCAAAACAGTATGGTACTGTCATTAAAGCACCCACATAGATCAACAGAACAGAATAGAGAACCTCAGAATAAACTCATTTACATCCAGTGAACTATTCTCAACAAGTATGCTAAAAATGCACAATGGGAGAAGTACAGTCTCTTCAATAAATGGTGCTGGGAAAACTGGATAATTGCATGCAAAAGAATGAAATTAGACTCTTATCTTATACCATACAAAAATAAAAAACCTCAAAATACTTTAATGACTTAAATTTAAGACCTCGAACTATACACCTCATAGAAGGAAACACAGAGCAAATCTTTTACATTCGCCTTTGTGATGATTTTTTGCGTATGACACCAAAAGCACAGATAACAAAAGCAAAAGTAGACAAATGGGACTCCATCAAACTAAGAAGCTTCTGCACAGAAAAAGAAACAACAAAATGAAAGGGCAACCTACAGAATGGAATAAAATATTTACATACTATATATTTAATAAGAGATTAATATCCAAATTACATAAGAAACTCATATAACTCAAGAGCAAAAAAAGAAATAATTTATAATGAGCAAAGAACTGAATAGGTATTTCTCTAAAGATGATATACAAATAGTCAACTGGCCATCCTTAAAACATCAATATATATAATATTGGTTAGAAAAGGGAATCCTTGTGCATCATTGATGAAAATACAACTTGGAAAATCAAGTCTGATGGGAACTCCTTTGAGTCTGACAGTCTGATGGGGACTCCTTTGTAGGTGACTGTCCCCTTAGCTCTTGCTGCTTCTTGGATTCTCTCCTTCATTTTAATCTTGCCTAATATAATTATGATGTGCCTTGGTGTGTTCCTTCTTGGGTCCAACTTCTTTGGGACTCTCTGAGCTTCCTTCATTTCCTGGAAGTCTATTTCCTTTGCCAGATTGGGGGAGTTCTCCTTTATTATTTGTTCAAATAAGTTTTCCACTCATGGCTGTTCCTCTTCCCCCCTCTGGTACCCCTATAATTCGGATACTGGAATGTTTAAAGATGTCCTGAAGGTTCCTAAGCCTCTCCTCATTTTTTTGAATTCTTGTTTCTTCATCCTTTTCTGTTTGGTCATTTTTTTCCTCCTTCTGGTCCACTCCACTGATTTGAGTCCCAGTTTCCTTTCTATTACTATTGGTTTCCT